TTTTTTTTTTTTTGACAGGCAGAGTGGACAGTGAGAGAGAGGGACAGAGAGAAAGGTCTTCCTTTTGCAGTTGGTTCACCCTCCAATGGCCACCGCGGCCGGCGCACCGCGCTGATCCGATGGCAGGAGCCAGGAGCCAGGTGCTTTTCCTGGTCTCCCATGGGGTGCAGGGCCCAAGCACCTGGGCCATCCTCCACTGCACTCCCTGGCCACAGCAGAGAGCTGGCCTGGAAGAGGGGCAACCGGGACAGAATCCGGCGCCCCAACCAGGACTAGAACCCTGTGTGCCGGTGCCGCTAGGCGGAGGATTAGCCTAGTGAGCCGTGGTGCCGGCCAGATAAATAAATCTTTAAAAAAATTAGGCATGTGTTTACTTTGACATGGAACTAGGTTTGCCATTTCAAAATGAGATTTCTAAGATTCACAAAGTAGAATTTTCATTCATATTGAAATATTCTGGATAATTTTTTCAGAAATCCTCTGTGCCACCCATGTGGATACTCAGAGATGGCAAGAAATTTCCCTGGCCCATTTTTACCATGATTACAAGTGTTATGTGAGTGACCAGTGGACAAAAAAATATGATCTTATTATATATAATTGTAATATTCCCAAGGTCTTTCCCTACATTTTTATTTAAATATTGTTATTTGCTTTAGACTCTGTGTGCATGATAGAAAATTCTATTTAATATTCACAACTGTTTTTATAGCAGTAAGCTAAATTATAAACATTATACTTTTAAAAAAAAAAGATTTATTCATTTATTTGAAAGTTAGAGTTACACACAGAGAGAAGGAGAGGCAGAGAGAGAAAGAGAGGTCTTCCATCCACTGGTTCACTCCCTAGTTGGCTGCAGCAGCCAGCACTGAGCCAATCCAAAGCCAGGAGCCAGGAGCTTCTTCCAGGTCTTCCCACATGGGTACAGGGACTCAAGCACTTGGACCATCTTCTACTGCTTTCCCAGGCCATAGCAGAGAGCTGGATGGAAAGTGGAGTAGCCAGGACATAAACTAGGGCCCATATGGGATGCGGGCACTGTAGGCGGCGGCTTTACCCGCTATGCCACAGTGCCAGCCCCCATTATACCTTTTAATTGACATTCTTGAATTAACTAAAACTGTCAATAATTAACTTCAGCAGGAGCTGAAGCGAAATGAAGGGAATCAGTTTGCTCAACGACTCAGGGACATTGTCACGAACTCTAAAGAGTAAAACTGATCCTATTGTTGATGGCTGATGGGTGTCATCTTTTAGACAGTTGATTCCTGAAACAGTAAAAACTCCATGGCAAAGATTCTAGTGGGTTTCTTTGTGACTTTAAGTGAAAAATTAAACAGAAAAAAAGGTTTTAGAGTAAACAGGACTTGAATTGTTTTTTTGTTTTTTTGTTTTTTTTTGACAGGCAGAGTGGACAGTGAGAGAGAGAGACAGAGAGAAAGGTCTTCCTTTGCCGTTGGTTCACCCTCCAATGGCCGCCGCGGCCGGCGCGCTGCGGCCGGCGCACCGCGCTGATCCGATGGCAGGAGCCAGGAGCCAGGTGCTTTTCCTGGTCTCCCATGGGGTGCAGGGCCCAAGCACCTGGGCCATCCTCCACTGCACTCCCTGGCCACAGCAGAGGGCTGGCCTGGAAGAGGGGCAACCGGGACAGAATCCGGCGCCCTGACCAGGACTAGAACCTGGTGTGCCGGCGCCGCTAGGCGGAGGATTAGCCTAGTGAGCCGCGGCGCCGGCCCAGGACTTGAATTGTTAAGAAAATCTTTACATCTTATATTAAAATTAAAACACCTTTTTTCATATTCTCCAGCTATATTTGAGCTCATTAAAAGAGCTCTTCCATTTATGTCCCCTCTGTATCAAAGTATGGCATTCTTTGGCTTATGTTTTATCTTCCTTATGTTTCCTTTTGAAATAAACATCATTCAGGAAATTGACAGAAGACCAGTAAGAAACTGGGATTAAAATGTGGGGAAAAAATCACTATTAACATGACATTATTATAAATATAAACTGCTTATTCTGTCCAGGTACTGTGCTAGATGCTTACAGACGTGATTAATCCCCAACAGCCTTGCAACAGGAATAAAATACAGCACTGAGGAGTGTGCAATCTGCAATGGGTATGGGGTTTCTTATTAGGATGATGAAAATGTTCCGAAATTTTAGACAGCGATGATGGCTGTACCACTCAGTGATTTATACTAAAAACCACTGACTTGTACACTTCCAGAGGGTGGATTTTATGGTCGTTGAATTACATCTCGATAAAGCTGTTATTTGTCAGGGCTAGCACTGTGGTGCAGCAGGTTAAAGCCCTGGCCTGCAGTGCCAGCATCCCATATGGGCGCCAGATTGAGTCCCAGCGGCTCTACTTCCAACCCAGCTCCCTACTAATGTGCCAGGAAAAGCAGTGGAGGATGGTCCAAGTCCTTGGGCCCTTGCACCCACATGGGAGACCCAGAAGCTCCTGGCTCCTGGCTTTGGATCAGCTCAACTCCGGTCATTGTGGCCATTTGAAAGAGTGAACCAGTAAATGGAAGACCTCTCTACCTCTCTTTGTAACTCTTTCAAATAAATAAAATAAATATTAAAAAAAAAAGCTGTTATTGGGGCTGGCGCTGTGGCATAGCGGGTAAAGCCCCAGCCTGCAGTGCCCACATCCCATATGGGTGCCGGTTCGAGTCCCGGCTGCTCCACTTCCCATCCTGCTCTCTGCTATGGCCTGGGAAAGCAGTAGAAGATGGCCCAAGTCCTTGGGCCCCTGCACCCACTTGGGAGACCCAGAAGAAGCTTCTGGCTCCTGCCTTCGGATTGGCTCAGCTCTGGCTGTTGTGGCCATCTGGGGAGTAAACCAGCAGATGGAAGACCTCTCTCCCTCTCTCTCTCCATCTCTCCTTCTCTCTCTTTCTCTCTCTCTCTCTCAGGTATCAGACCCCATTTAGCCCAAATATCCTGAAGAACACAGGTGTGTATTCAGGCATATGCAGAGTTAACAAAATTTATTCCATAACCCTCCTACACAGAGGGTCCTTTCCTAAGGTCTAGGAAAGTTTAGGGCCATCAGCTCTGTCCATTCTCACCCCACATCCCAACACTATTTCAACATTCTTCCCCCATTGTTCTCTTTCTTACATGTTTCTATTCTTCTCACCATCCTAAATTGTCCTTACAATACAGCAAATAGGCCGGTTACTGCTCTCACTCAGCCCACCAGTTTCCCAAGTACATGGTCAGCTAAGAGATGAACACAAGGGCAAGGTAAAAGTTCTTCCCTTCAACCCCCCACAAATGTCTCTGGGTAGAGGAGTAAGGGTAGGGGCAAGAGAATGCATTTCTCAAATTGGTCTTTCCTTACTTTGCTTCCAAACGAGCAAATAAACTACTTTCTGCTGTTCCCTTGGCTGCTCCACCTCTGCCCTCTCCCTAGGAGAGAACAGGCATGTAGAAGCTGCCCTGTGTTGAGGGTGACTGCAATGTCACCCTCACAGCACGCTGGTAAGAGGTGGCCTTTGTCTTTCTAATCCCATATAGCCTCTTGTGTGGAGCTCCAAAATTATGTTCTCTTCTCAACACATTGCTATACCACATCTCTGACACTAATTCTTTATTTCTCCTTTAGGTAATTAATTCTACTCTCCCAATTCCATTCATTTCTGCCAGTTTGCAATCATGTTCTGCCCCCTGTGGATTTGGGTTAACATCTGTTAAACCCTGAACTATAAGGCCATTCCCTAAATAGTGCATTTCACATTTTGCAAAGCAAACTGTGACAATATTACATATAAATTTCTACTGCTCAGTTCATGTTTTCAGCTATAAGTGCTTTAGGATAATGAAATACAGAATGATGCCACACTACATTATTAAATATAACATAAGTATTCTAACTTACAAGAGTCAAAAGCTTTAAAAATATAAGATTTTTATTTCTTCAATTTGGATTTTAAAGAAAGCCTTATATAGACTTGAAAAAATATGAGCTATGGATATTAAAATTTTAATAAAACTAGTATGTCACTCAGGATTTAAATTTCCTTAAGGTGTTACTGCTCACTGAGGTTGGACACATTGACAACATTAAGAGAATAAAAAGTATCAGAAAAGTTTATTTTGGTTTGTAAAAGCTGAGAAACATCCTGCTTACCCAGCTTTCTGAAAGTTTGTTCTAAAACTATGTGATTCTCGGGGAAAATTAAAACCAGCCTTTTATAATAAATTAATTAATATTCGGATGATGTTTCTGACATTCTCAGGGTACTAAAAAGGAAAGATGCATGTTCTTTGAAGGTAGTCCCTTAAACTGTTTGAATTCAGGAAAAAATATTCCCATTTTGAACCTTTTGAAATGTGTTCTACTCCTGTCTCTCTTTATCCAATTTTGCACACAGCTGTCTGCTGTACTTTTCAGAATCATGCCAGATGCTGGGTTCATCAAGCAAAAGCAGGAAAACAATGCTACGAAAGCAATTAGCAGCACGGGGGCTGCGGCGAGGCTCATATTAAAATGTGATAACACTGTTCTAGTGGGAATTTCGACACTGCTCCGTGTCTGACATTTCTCTGCTGCCAGGCAGGCAGGCTGTGGGGAAGGGCACTGTGATGGAGGAGGTAACTTCCTGGAATTTATTTCTGAAGTAAATGAAGGATTCACTAAGTTGGAACTCTCCCAGGGCTTTCAGGATGGACGTGGCCGCCATGCTATTTGGATGCCACTGGTTCCCGTTGGCCTCCAACAGCTCGAGGAATGAAAGCTGCAATGGGTCGGGTTCTGTACACTCATGCAGCCATGCCCCCCCGCAGACGGCAGAGGCGAAGAGTCTCTTGTTGCTAAAAAGAAGGGCAGGGGGCACCCAGCAGGGTGAAGGTTAATTAAACACTTCACTAACTTTCCTCAGGCAGGGCGAATGCCACTCCGTGGAGAAGCTTAACGCAGAAGAGGCAGAAGGAAAGGACGCTGTGGACACATTTCAGAACACTGTGCGGAGGCACAGGGGACTCACCTTGGGGCTGGAAGTCCCAGTAGTACCTGAAATACAAGGGAAAAGGTGGCGATGAGTCAAACTCGCACTGTTCTTGCACCAAGTCCAGAAAGCATGCTATAATGCTGACTTTGAGAAAAGCAAACAGAATCATCCCTGAGATTTCTAAGCATCTCAAAAGCTTAACAGCTGCAGCTCCTTAGGTAATTTTGACATGAGACAGAGAATGGTCCCAAGACAGAACAGTGGCCCAAGGTTTCTCACCGGAAGGGCATCGTCTGTGAGCAGGATGGTTCTTTGTTGTGACAACCTGTCCATTCCCAATCCTGGTCCCGAGCATCAGGTACCAGTGGCACCCCGAGTTGTTATGACAACCAAATCCCACCACCACCGCCCACACATCTCAAGCGCCTGTGACATGTGCAGTCTGCATTTTCCAGGTGAAGCATGAACCCAAGGCTGCCTAACATTTTCACGTCTGTGAAAAGTAGAAGGCTCCTGCAGCCCACCGCACCACCCCTTCTCCTCCCTTATTTCGGGAAATGATGGGCAAAACTGATAACTCCTGACGTCTTTAATGAAATGGCAGTGGTGAAAAGGATCATTTGTAAGTCACTCTTTGCAACCTAACTTTCATTTTTCCCCACAGAAACAAGGCTAAGCATGGTGGTTACCCACAAAGGCCTATTATCCTTTGGATGCCATTTCCTCCTGCCTTCACAGGAACCTCGTATTATCCTCTATTGATTTTCCTCTCATAAATATTCAGCCTCTTCCTCTCAACCTGGCCCTTCCCCTGCACATTTATACTCATATAAAAATAAAGTGAACCCTCCCTCACCCGCTTCACACCCCTACACCTGCTGTCCTGATTCCTCTCACACCACAGTGCGTGGTCTGCACTTGGCTCATTTTATTCCCTCCCTGCACACTCCCTCTTCCACACACTCAAGCACGTTCATATTCTCTCCACCTTAACTCCTGCTATGGACATAAAGACGTCCATGCTACTAAACAGATGGGTATCTTCTGCTGTCTCACCCTGACCTCTCAGGGGTGTATATATGCATCTGACCATTTCTTTTCCTAGAGAGAGAGAGAGAGAGTCTATAGTGTTTAACAAGTTCTTAAAATGGTCCAAACCCCAAGGGCAATGACAGGTGTTAGTGGTGTGTTTTCAAGTACATCCACAAATGCTGGCGCCGCGGCTCACTAGGCTAATCCTCCACCTTGCGGCGCCGGCACACCGGGTTCTAGTCCCGGTCGGGGCGCTGGATTCTGTCCCGGTTGCCCCTCTTCCAGGCCAGCTCTCTGCTGTGGCCCAGGAGTGCAGTGGAGGATGGCCCAAGTGCTTGGGCCCTGCACCCCATGGGAGACCAGGATAAGTACCTGGCTCCTGCCATCGGATTGGCGCGGCGCGCTGGTTGCAGCACGCCGGCCGCGGCGGCCATTGGAGGGTGAACCAATGGCAAAGGAAGACCTTTCTCTCTGTCTCTCTCTCTCACTGTCCACTCCTGCCTGTCCAAAAAAAAAAAAAAAATCAAGTATATCCACAACTGACATTAGATCTGGTTGCTACCTGGGGGACATCAGCCCTATGAGATGCAAATTCGGAAATGAAGAGGAAGGAGATCAGTGGGGAGGAAGTCACCATTACCCAGAAATTAATTTGGGGGAAAAAATTCGAGTTGGGGAAGGGAAGGTGGAGAACAAATCTGATGACCGTGTTATCTTCTACCAGAACAGTTCTGAGCTGGGAATCGGCTATAGGGAAATGTAAGATATTTGGCTTAAAGGACAGAAAGTCCAGGACAGCTTTGACATCTGCAGTGGAAAAAGGGGAGAGGGGAGGCACAGAGGAAGGGCTAGGAAAAGGAAAGCTTCAACAGCTCAGAGAAGCGTCGTCCACATCAGGGTAAGAAACCGACTGACACTGAAACAAGTTATGCTTAACAGCACGGTGGGTCAGGCTCCACCCAGCAGGCAGTGCAGCTTCCCATGTATCTGGCCACAGTAAAGTTTTCTGTGGAACTCATTTCTGGAAAGCATAGCTAATCAAGTTTATCATTAAAGGGGTGAGGACTTTTCCAACTTCTCTTGAGGCACTGCCCTAACCTACAGTTCCAATCATTACCCAATGAAATTAGAAATTAAGGTGTGAACATGCACACACATTCACACCCCCCCACAAGCACACACTATACAAACACACCACATACACATACATCACACATGGCCCATATACAAGCACACACACACACACACCACATACAACATGCAGTACAAACACACCACAAATGCACACCATACACACACGTCACGTACACAGGCACATTCCACACACACCACACACATACACACACAACCAAACACATCACTCTTTCTTCCCAAATGTTAATGATGGCAGCAGCAGACCCTTTGCTCATCAACACTGTCCTCGTTTATTGGCCCAGGAAAACTGAAATCAGGTTGCAGATAAGACTCCTGAACAAAGGGCAGCTCCAGGAGATTGCTGATGAGGCAAAATCTATGACTGATTTCAGCCTCTTATGTGCCCTCCTCTTCCGGGATCCCCACTCCAACTAACTCTTATTTTTAGCTCCCTTCTTACCTACTATAAAGTGCCCTGGTTTCCTGATTTCTCCTGTTAGTCCAGAAGAAAGATGGTCTTAAAATTTCATGTACACTAACAGTAATGCTTCTACCATTTGGGGTGTGAACCAGCAGATGGAAGCTCTGTCTCTCCTCTCTCTCTCTGTCACTCTGCCTTTAAAACAAATAAATCTTAGAAAAATAAAGAATATTGCTTCTGCCAATAGTGGCTATATCCTAAGAGATCTGATTATAGAGAAAGAACTTAACAGTATCAAATAAAGTAGCAGTTTTGTCTAGTTGAAATTATATAGCAGATTTGCTTTATTCTTAATAGTACTGTAATTAAAAATTTCTGTCAAAATTTCAGCTATAAGATGAATTGGTTCAGGCCAGTGCTGTGGCACAGTGGATTAATGCACCACCTGCAGCACCAACATCCCCTATAGGTGCCGGTTCAAGTCCTGGCTGCTCCACTTATGATCCAGCTCCTTACTAAAGCGCCTGAGGAAGCAGTGGAAGATGGTCAAGTGCTTGGGCCCCTGCACCTGTGTGGGAGAATGTGAAGAAGCTCCTGGCTCCTGGCTTTGGATCGGTCTAGCTCTGACCATGATGGCCATTTGGGGAGTGAACCAGTGGATGGAAGATCTTTTTCTCTGTATCTCCTCTGTCTATAATTCTATCTCCCAAATAAATAAATAAATAAAATCTTAAAAAAAAAGTAATTATATGAGATGACAGATGACTTGATTATGGTAATCATTTCACAATGTATACCTATACCAAATCATATTTTACATATATACAATTTTATTTATCTATTATAAAAAATTCTATCAATAAAAACCATATGAAGAAATTAGAATTAAAGACACATCTCTACCCCACAGCTCACAGAGGATACCACTTTTTCAAAAGATATATTTATTTCCTTCTTTGTATACACTGGTTCATTTATTTTTATCTCTCTGATATGGGATGCTGGTATTGCAAGCAGTAGCTTAACCCACTGAGCCACAACACAGGCCCAACACAGGATTCTTTTACTTAAACAAAAAAAGATTCGTTTATTTACTTATCTGAAACTCAGAGTTACAGAGAGAAAAGGAGACAGAGAGAGAGAGAGAGAGAGAGAGAGAGAGATCTTCCATCTGCTGGTTCTCTCCCCAAATGGCCACAATGGCTGGGGCTGGGCCAGGCTGAAGCCAGGAGCCAGGAGCTTCTTCTGGTCTCCCACATGGGTGCAGGGGCCCAAGGACTTCCCAGGCACATTAGCAGGGAGCTGGGTCAAAAGCAGAGCAGCCTGGACTCCAACCAGCCCTCTGATACAGGATGCTGGCATTGCAAGCAGTGGCCCAACCCACTGAGCCACAGCATGGGCTCCCGGCGACACTTTAAAAAGGAAAGTGCAAGAGGTGACAGTCTCATCTCTCAGTGGAGAGCACCATGGATTATTTTCTGGGGGACAGCTCCAAGGTCTCAATCTTATCTTGCTAAACATATCTTACAGAGGCCCTTCCTCACCCCCGTAGCGACTCCACGCCGGGTGACTCTACTCTTCAGAACCATTTAGTCAAATCCTGCCAACAGCTTCCAATTCTCACCCCCTGAAAGCAATCCTCATTTAGCCAGAGTCCCCAGCAAGTCTGCAACTGGAAAATTTAAACCGAAATACAAAGACCACAAGAGAAGCACACAGAAGGAAAAGCCCATGCTTGCACACATAGGGCTGTTTATCCTAAAGGCCTCTGAGAATTCCCTATCAGGCCTGTGAAAATAGATAACGAACACTTCTTTAATCTTCTCTTTGAAGCCTCGGCTTCAATAGGAAAGGGAGGCCATCAGTCCTCTGCAATACTCACACTCCACATCGTCGGGTCCACGCCAATGACACTGGGCACAGAGCCAGCGGGGAGGAAGCGCGGAAGCCGCGGAGATGCAGATGCCGTCTTGTCCAGGCGGCGTGAGCCTCTCTTGGCTCAAACAGAAGAGCAAAGTTTTCCCGACGCGGAGCCTGCTCTGCTGAACCGAGCCCGGAAACTTTAGGACTTCGTTCTGTGTGAGCCAAAGTCCATTACTTTTTTTTTTTTTTTAAACGTAAGGATGTTTAAATTGAACTTTAGTTTGGGGAAAGGTTCAGCAAATAAATCGCGTGCAGGAAATCTTGGCGAGTGGCAGGCGCCACGGTCGGCTGAACGCGGTGCCGGGCACCGCTCGAAGCACGTCCCGATATTAACCCACAGCCCTCGCACCCTAACCCTGCTGTGAATCCCGTTTCCTAAATGGGGGAACTGAGGTGTCAAGAGATGAAATAACTGGGCCCGGCCAGTAAATGAGGCAGACAAGTCTCCGATTCCAGCAACTGCTTTTAGGACAGACACTCTAACAAGAAAATAGGGAGGGCTGTCTTGAAAATACAACCCAACAGAAACACTCCTCAGAACTGACTCTCCCT